CTTTACAGCATATGTAGTCTGCCAATACTGGTAAGAATTCCGTATGATTCATTATCATGAATTGCATTTGTTACTTAGAATAAGGGAAATGTCAAGGAAAAAAACCATTTATTTTTTATTATTTGTAGATAAATATGCTTGGTCATCTTTCTGGAACTTTTAAGGGCACACCGAGGTTTGAATTGCTTAACATAGAAATGGCAACAACTAATTCAATCATAGACCCATGGATTTATATAATCTTCCGAGAAGAGACCATCAACTTCGTCCGAGGATTATATAAAAAGCTCACGTGCACCATTTGCAATTCAAGAAAAAATGAACTTGAATGGCAAAACTCAGAAACCCCAAACGAGCCTAATAGTTTTACAGTAACTTCAACATAGGAATATTAGTAAAGTTAGTGTGTATGCGTATATAAGAGAGAGAGAGAGAGAGAGAGAGAGAGAGAGAGAGAGAGAGAGAGGCAAGGCTTTTGTTTAATAAAATTTCAGTTATTAGTACTAACAAAATAATAAGCTAAGAGAAATTAATATTCTTAAAATTTAGGTAACTAAAACATTGATTATGCCATTTCTTTTGAGAGCACAAGAGAGCTTAAGTAATTAGTTGCTAGTACGCAATTTTCGTTGTTCATTTATGTGTGTTTAATATGATGTATGCTTGCAAATTGCCATGGAAAGTATGCTTGCAAATTGTCATGGAAAGTAAAAAGTTTCAAATTTGATTTTTAAAGTCGAATTGTCATATTCATTTAAAATAAAAAGGCGAGAATAGCAAAACGGTGGTACGACCTAAAAATAAATACAAATCTGTAAAGAGGACACAAGAAAGATTCCCAGGTATACCAAAAATGAACTATAACAAATGCATTTTCTGACAATGTCTTCATACTGACCAAAGAATCTGCTTTATATTTAAATACATACACAAGATGTGTAGCTTTTTATATGAAATTTAGTGTACAGTTTGTAGATTTATATGCATTGTTGTATACAATATATAGTTCGATATTTATTATAATATACGATGTGTAGTTTTATTTGTATTATAGTGTACAATGTGTAGTTTTGGTTGTATTATAGCGTGTGATGTTTAGTGATCGCTAAGCGGATTATGAAAAAAAGTGTTAACTGACCCAAACCAGGTTATACTTGATAATTTGGCAAAGAACTAAAATCATTCCTTATAATTTAATTTAAAAATAATTAAACAACTGTGGATGTAAAATTTTCAAGTTTTCAAAGTTCAAATTTGCCGCTCAATAATACACCCGTAGTAATGGAAGTGATGGGAAGCGAGGGGAGGTAATAACTGATACATAGACCTAGTAGTCATGATGTTTGTTTACATGAGGAAAGATCAGGCTACTGTTTGAAGTTAAAAGTACATTTATTAAATCTCTAATTTTCCATGAATCCCTAGGACTGGAATATGAGGGGATTCCTGGATACAGATGATTCATCTGGTTGTCAAGGGGGTGTGTCGCCCATACCAAACCATATTATACAGAATAATTTGCGTTCCTTTTAGGAAATCAACCAATGAGAGGCTAGATTACAAACAAAATTAAATTTTACATGTATATTCAATCTCGTCGTCGATGATATTTTGTTCCTCGACCTTTTTCAGGCGGAGAGATACAGAGGCTAAAAGATACTGAAAGGGGAAAAGAAATGCAGGGTTATATAACAGATTATGACACATCTGTTTCATATTTGGATATTTTACTTAAAAAAGGAACGTTAATTTTATTTTAACAATGATGACTTGAACTTTTCTATCCTCAACTTCCCTTTACTTATGTAGCAATATACCTGAAGTCATCACCTGCATACGGAGTTTATGCTCTACGTATAAACAATATCAGCATTACCGTTTAAAGTCATCCTTTCGGAAGTTTTTTGATCGATACAATGACCTTGTCAGCAAATACAATTTATCACGGAGCCAAACGCATACTAATTGTTAGTATTTTATTTATACACTGAATTGACGACGGATTTTCCCGTTATTTCCCGATCATGAAAATGTGCACACGGCAGGTGTGACTTGTCGGCATTGGATGCTCACTCCTTCATGGCACCTGATCCCATCTTTGATGTTTTGGAGGTCTGTGGCAACGCACTTTGAAAAAATTACGCACTTTGAAAAAAATTTTCAAAGTGCGTTAAAATTGGAACAATTATCAACGCACTTTGAAAAATTTTTTTAAAGTGCGTTAAGAATTTAGATAAACATTTTTACCATGGGGGCATTTAACGCACTATGAAAAAATATGCATAAACAAAAAATATTCTAGACTTAGATTTTAGTAATTGAGAGAATCAATTTGTAATAAAAACTTTTTTAATTTACATGTACTCATTTAACCTCATTGAGGACAAGGAGAAGATGAGTAGAAGGTCTCTCATCCCCACTCTCTTTTTTTTTTATACATTGTAAATAGCCATCGAAGCAAATTGAAAGTTGACCCCCCAGGAAAGCCCCAATTTTTAATGCATATGTTATGTATATCTTTGCAAACCATTTGTGTGCCTACCCCCCCCCCCCCCCATCCCCACCCTTCCCGGTACTGATGCCTATGCTAAACCCAAATATATGCATTTACATAACTGGTATGACGTTGAAAACTTTCAATAAATTTTAGTTTACATAAAATGCATGCAAACTGGAAAAAATTAAGTACAGTAAAGCATTTTAGAGAGAAAGAATTTTCAAAGTATGGTAAAATCAAAATCGCTCACTTTCACATCCTGAAGTGGCCTCAGCACCGAAGAGTTATCAAACAGGTTCATTTATTTATCATACCTAAGTTTTGCATGAATATTGACCAATCACATTTTTTCAAAGTGTGTTAATATGGTAGATATTAACGCACTTTGAAAAGAAATTTTATTTTTTCAAAGTGCGTTGGTTTGTTCCCAAATTTAACGCACTTTGAAAATTTTTTTCAAAGTGCCTAATTTTTCAAAGTGCGTTGTAACAGAGGTCCATGTTTGTTCAGCTCCTATTTTGTATTGTTTTATGGATTTTTGATCTTGAATATTGTTCGTCATCTCCGTATGGTTCATAATGTACAAGTTGTTTTTGAATGCATGGCCAAAAATTATGAAAAGTGGTCAGAGGTTTATCTTGGTTACTCTGCATTGTAAATATTAATCACCGAGAAACAGAGAAAGAGATTGAATCGAAAACAGTGCATATAGATCTCGACTGATTTCTCAAAGAACCATCGATATGTGAAGACGATGTGAATTTCTTGCAATTATGGCAATTTCTTGCAATTACCGAAGTTCCATAGGACGTCTTACTCGTCGTCAGAAACAGGCTAAAATAGCATCATTTGAGCCTCAGTAATGCATGACTTAAATTAGATTTTGGCTTCATTTTATAAAGATTATTTCAAATTTTAGATAATAATACAGGAAAATACGTCTGAAAAATAAATTATTCCACTCTGCATTATTTTTTTCTTTCAGTATATATTGCCAGCATTCAGCAAAGCTATTATACGGTTGCATTCCCTCATTAATACAAATCTTTAAGTTCATTGATTATCAAGGAATCTCTGTTTGGTTTTGGGCCCTGTCCCCTCACCAGCTGTAATTGGTTCCTAAGGGCGTGACTATGTACTTGGCCTATATTATTTATTCCTTTTTTTCCCTAAATTTTATTTCCTTTTAAAGAATGATATAACTTTATATTCTTAACTAGTGAATCGAAACACATGGTTAAAGTTAATCTTTTTTTAAATTAAAAAAAAAAAATGTTATTGGCTTTCACAAGTATACAAAGCAAACTATATATATATATATATATATATATATATATATATATATATATATATATATATATATATATATATATATATATATATATATATATATAAGCAAAACATATAAACACATATACATGTACACGGTGAATTTCTTGATAATTTTGTCCTTTTATAAAAGTACAAAGTTTACTTGTAACCGTGAAAGTTGTTTTATATAAAAAAAAAAAAGAGGGGGGGGGGTTTGGGTCAACAGTAGTAGAAAAATGCATTCATATATTTGCAATCAAATAATGTAAATCCTAAGAGTTAGCACATAATTACATTTCATCATAAAAATAGATGATTTTTTTAAAGTAGTACATCACAGATTTTTGCCAGTGCCTTTCATATTCCATCTATCTAAAACTTTCCATTAACAAAACCTTTTCTATAAAAATTCTGTCTATAATCCGCTTTAATAGAATATCAATATTTAATTTTGGAACACTTTTATATTTACTGGCAAAAATAAATTGTTTTACAATAAGTATTATCAAGTTTTGTAATCTACATATATTCCTGTTCTCATATTTACCAAAAAGTATTGCTTGTTTGTCAAAACTACAATGAATCTCAAATTTTTCCAAAACCCATTCTTCAATCTTACACCATAAATCTTTTACTTTAAAACATTCTACAAACAAATGGTCAATTGTTTCTATGTCACTTAAACAAAATGTACAAGCTGGTGAATCAATCAACTTCAATCTAAAAAGATAATAATTTGTTTGAATAAATATGTGTACTATTTGAAATTGGAGCCAGTGAAATTTGGATTCTTGAGTAACTTTGAAGGGAAGTTCAAATATTTGATTCCAATCTGCTTCATCAAAGAAAACATTATTTTCGTTCCATTTTAACCAGAACTGATTGGCTCTCTCTTATTATTTATAAATATATTATACATATCTTTACACCCTTTATTACTTCTATAAAATATGAAAATTGAATTTGGAATATTTGGGGCAATAATCTTTAATCTTTTAATTTCCTCCATCCTTGCATACTTCAGTTTTTTTTTAATAAAGGTTAAAGTTAATCTTGTTGCTAAATTAAAAAGTGTAATCACATTTGTTTAAATATGCACATTTCTGTATGTTCACTAAAGCATGACTTAAGCATGTTAAAATTGCAGGCAATTATACCTTGTTGTGCATAAAGTTTAACCCCAGGCATTTTAGCTTCATAGATAAAAATATTTACTTTCTTGCAACTAATGGAGCATGTGGTATCCAGAATTACATGAGAATAAGGTAAGAATGCATGATTTTTTAAAAAAAAAAATAACAACATAACAAAATATCGTTTACATTCTGCTTGAGTGTGAAAAAAAATTCGTACATCAAGATAAAAAAAAAAAACTCAACGGAATGCCATCCAGTGTATTCAATTATCAGTTTATAAAATGATAGCACTTCTAATTTAATGTCCTCATTATGAAACAAAGGCTACGACTACAGGGGTATTTCTATGAACAGATCCGCCAAATGCGGGGTTGCCGCCTTCTTTGGAAAAAGTTTTACTATAGTATAAATTTTCCCTCAGAACCTGGTTGACCCTTCCCCTCTGTAAGAAATTACATTTATTGCTGCAAGGTGGAGTACTGACCAGTAAATTCCAGGATTTACTTTGCTCGTCAGATTTGTTTTGAATGCCCCTCCCTAATTTTGTTCCTACAGAACATTGAATTTTATGATTACAGTCATTTATATGATATACGAGGGTTGTCCCGTAAAATCGTGGACAAGTTGTCTAGTGTGAAAAATAAACATCACTGCGTTCTGAAATTTTCACTATTACTAAGTACATATTTTAGTAATATACACAGCAAATTTCAGATAAATATATGCATAAATAAACAAATTATGAGATTTTATGCCATGTATTGTATCATCTTACGGCACATGGATTATAATGTCAAAATGTCTAAAACAGAGAGTCACGTTTTATTTTTGCTGAAAATGAAGTTGGATGAGTCCGACTTGAATTTAGGAATTTCATTGATACACATTCTTTAGTCTCCATAAATCGTCGAAGAACCAATTGGCACCCTCATGCGATCTTCTGAAGATTATTAGTAAGTTACGGACAATATTCTCACCATCATTCAACTAATAGAAAATCTCATATCGGCAGTCTACTGTGACAGCGTCTTTTAGGAGTTTGTCCGTATGTTTTGTACTCCCCAGGGACTCGATCAAGAAAAACTTCTCTAGGAAAACTCCTATTTCATTTGTATACTTAAAATATGGTGATGGTTTTATAATCTTTTTTCTTCTATGGTCATTTCAAGTCTCTAAAGGTGTCATTACAACATCGAAATAAAACTAAACTGTTCTCCTGTGCGCCTTAACGTCATAAAACGTCGCCCTTTTTCGTGTGTTGTGTTTACCACTTTCCCATTTCGAATGCTCGAGAAACCGCCAAAAATTAAGAAAATGCCTTAAAATTTTTACAAAGACTACAAAATTGGTTGTGGAATTGAATTAGGATAATTTTAATCCAAATCTTATGTATTTAAAAAACTTTTATTTTGAATTCAAACTTGTTTATTCTTCAATAAAACCTTGGTTTTTTGACCGTGCGCCGTAGGACAATACCTCGTGCACATTCAAGCATAATAAAATCTTTATTTTTGCCTACATTTTATCAAAAAAAAATTATCATGCACTTAAATATGATAAATAAACATTTACTGAAATTTTCAGCTTAGTGCGCCAATTACTTTTCGAGAAAAACGTTTTGTCCACGATTTTACGGGACAACCCTCGTAGTTTCCAGTTCAAATGAAACATTGAAAGAAAAAAAGAAACTGACTTAAGGAAAAAAGAAAGCCTTTTTAATTATTTCTGCACAGATGTATCCTTAATATATTTGACATTGTTGAGTAGGCCTCCACAGGAATAACAAAATTTTTCTCCTTTTCAGGTAAAGATATTCTCAGGTTTGAAGTAATTTAGAAAATGAAGGACATAAAACAGAAGCAGATCCTGGCTTATTGCTCTCTGACAGCTGGCTTTGGTTTGCTGAGTAGCGCCTACAATTTCTACTATGTTAAAGTCTTTCTGAACTTCTACCACATACAGGAATCCTGGTTTCAGTTGTCACAGATCCTATTCTTGGTTTGGAATGCCATCAACGATCCCCTGTTTGCTTACTATTCAGATAACAAAAACTTCAAAATTCTCAAAACTCGACGGAATATGATTCTGTACTCGGCTCCATTTTTCTCCTTGTCCTTCTTAATACCATGGTTTCAGTGGAGTACAAATCCTGTCATTGTAGGTCTTCATTTAATTTTTGCATTGTGTTTCTGGGACACACTCTTCACTTTTATCGGATTGACAGCGTGTTGTCTTTTCACCGAGATTTCACAGGACAATGAGATGAGAATCACCCTAACTCGTGCCTCACAAGTGGCCTCATTATTCAGTTCCTTCAGTGTCATGGTGCTAGAACACGCTTCTAATGGCCTACAAGATTTCCAAGCATTCCAAGTGACCACAGTACTGATAGCAATATTAAGTTGGTTCTTAATGTATTACTGTGGAAAAAATTGCCACACCCAATACGATCTGCAGCAAATGCAGCAGGGGGAAAAGTCCCCGGATGAAGTGTGTCACAAGAGAACTGGGCATGAGTCGTACTGGCAGCAGACATGGCAGATCGTCAGAGATATCAATTTTATTTCGTTTGTAGTCACCAACTTCTTTCAGGAATTTCATCGTACGTTCCTCCACAGTTTTATGGCCATTGTTTGTGATCAGTTAATAACGGCTGATGAAATCAGTCAATCTTCTAGGAGTACCTTTTATGGTGGTGTTCCATTTATGTCGAAGGTATGTCCCCTTCATTAAATGCTTAAAATTTCTTTCCCATTGTACTAATTTTAATGTTATTTTACACTATTCCGACAAAAAATTCGTCTCCTAGAACATGTCGGATTAAATAGGTATCACTGTATATGTATTCAGTATCAAGTTAAAAACATGTTGGTTTCTCCTTGTCATTGAGAAATGTTTAACAATTTTTGGAGAATCACTATCTCTTACGATGGTCATACACATTTTTTTTATAATAATCAGGAGCAGAGAAGACGCCTTTCCAAGATATAATTCATCTCCACCAATAAATTCCCACTCTTATACCGGACCCTCAAACTAGGACCATTGGTTTCGTCATTTTCATATTTTTTGCTTTCCAATTTTCTCTTTTTAGGTCCCAGGGATGGAATAGGAAGGGCGAACATAAAATTGAAATTGAAAAGACTGAAAGGGTTTAAATTTAGAATTGAGGAATGGAAATTTATTTAAATTAAAAATTAATTAATTTTTTTTCAAGGATAAATACATAGTTTTTTCGTGGCAGTAATAGGTCCTATTCTACAGACTTTGTTATCGTAGTTATTCAAATATCATTTTATTGAAAGTGTAATTATTATAAGTATCGAAAGCTCCTTTTATTCTACAAGTTGTCCTTATTGTTTTATTCTTTTTGAAACAGATTCTAGTGATATCGATAGCTCCTATACTACGTCATTTCTCCTACAAGAAGGTGATCCGCGCCAACTTTATTTGGAAAATCTCGGGAGGTCTTGTTATGTACTATTTCATTGGGGACGGCCATCCCTGGATTTTGATGGGATTCCTTTTAATAGATAAGTGAGTGTATTCTTTTTAAAAACTAATTTTTTCAAGTGGGTTTGTAGAAATTAATATGATCGAACAGACAATGAAGCTGTGAGTTTCTGTTTCTGATTGAAAGAAGAGTATTTCTAACTAATTGTGATGTTTAAAATATTAGAGATTTTGGAGCTAAGAAAGATACAACTATATGTTCTTTTATTTTGAGAATAATTAAGAGATTTTTAAGGATGTTCTAGTTTTGTGGAATATCAGATACTCTTGTGACAATTGACCTTACTGTTGTCGTAAAAAATAATCATTATACAAGATACATATCAGTCTTTTATTCCAGAAGTTTTGCCAATGGTACATTTTCACTCTTCAATCTGCCGTTGTCGGATATCGCTGATGCCAATATGATAAAGTACAAAAGAAAGTAAGTTTTCATCGCGAAAAAAGTCAAAGCTTGGTTATTTAAATTTTTAATTAATTTACTATGCACAAATCATATGTAATGTATATTTCCTTAATTTATGATACAAAAAACTGACAGCAATTTTTATCATTTTTTATGATACAACAAAAAAGAATAATTAGCCTACACCATAGAATGCATGAGCTACCGGGTATCTTGTTTCATTTTATTGCCAATTGATAAGAATTTCGTTGAACATCAAGGGCACGTTCTTTTTCATTTGAGGAACACACCACAAGAAAAAAAAACTAGCTACTCTTAGAAAATTATTCGAGATACATATTTTTTCATTTAGATATATATTGTTCCCCAAATCATCCTCTTTAGCTCACCTCAACGAAGTTTGGAGAGCCTATGAGATACCCTCGGCGTTGGTGTCGCCATCCCAGGTTAAGTTTTTTTTAAAGCAGTTTTCTTTTTAAGGGACTCCGATCCTCAGCCAGGAAGGACAACTCTTTAATTTATAATTAAATTCAAAAAGTCTCAAAATGAAGCTTGAAAATTAAATCTTTTCATGCAACATTTTTCATTATACACCTCTCAATGTGCTTCAAGGTTCTTGAAGTTCTCAGAAAGGTCTAATTAAAAGTCGAAATTTTTACCCCGTAAAAGCATTTTAAAATTACACATATCAAGAAACTGATGTTCATTTTAACCTAACCATAGATGCTAATGTTTATTTACAAGATATAAGTTTAGAAGTGATTTATGTAACCTTATAATGACAGGAGAATCTTTATACACTTTGTATTGTAAAATGATCGAAATAAATAAAAGAAATTAAAGTACATTATATGCATAGAAATTGTGGAATTTCTTCAAAAGCCTGGACACCTATGATTTTTATTTTTAAAATGTGTTAATTGATAAATTTGAATTGCAAAATGCATAGCAGGTGTTTTTATTCGCAATTCCTGAAAATATATTTCAATATTACTAATTTTCTCTATATAATATGATAAACTTGAAAGATGAAGCTTGAAGAATTATTATGGGTAAAAACACCTTACTTTGAGACATTTTCTTGAGCATTTTCAATTAGTCAATGCTTGATTTTCAGAACCTGAGGATCGAAGTACCTTAAGTACGTCTGTGGCCTATATTGATTAGACTTGATGGAAGATGCTTCTAGTGTGTTTCATTGTACCAAATAAAGTTTCAGATGCTGCAATTGTAAAAAATAAAGTTTCAGATGCTGCAATTTCAGCAAAGGAATGAACAGGTGGATGGTTTTGGAGCAGGTTAATACTTTTGGTGCTGTTTTTGATGTAGGTCTCATTTCCAAGTAACTATAAGCCCTATGTTGGTCAAACTTGCATGGATGACATATTTAAGGATTGATACTACCAGGCTTGCTTCGGAAGCTGTATCTGGCCTACATTTTATTGGTGAGTAAACAGATTAAAGTTTTTAGAGCAGGTTCAATCTAAAGCAGGTATATGCCTTATGTCTGAGCAAACTTGCATGGATGATGCATCTAAGGAAGCACACCAATGACCTTGCTTCGGATGCAGGATCCGACATACATTTTCCAGATAATGGACCAGGTAAAAGTTATAGGTGCAGGTATATCACCAAGAAACTATAAGGCCTATATTAACCAAACTTGCACAAATGATGCATCAAGAGATGAACACTCTCAAACGTGCTTCATATGCTGGATTTGTATCATGTTTTCTTGATGGGAAACTAGTTTGACGTTTTTGGATAGGTCCTTTCAAAAGTAACTGCAAGCCCTTTCAGATCAAAATTGCCTAAATTTTGCATTTTGGGATGTACACTTTTATAATAATTTTATAGTCGGTTAATTGTGTGACTTTGACAACATTCGTTGAGGTGAGCTCTGTAATGTCTGATTACCTATGTTTTCAATATCATCTGTACCCCTGATGTACAGAAAATTATTAAATAAAACAGAGAATGAGTATCACTGATTTTTTTGGGGTAAAAGATAATGATTGAAGTTATGTCAATGAGCATGAGTCATTTATTTTAATCCTCCATGTAAACAACCTTTTTTTCGTTGCAGGCATCCAATCACCTCGATGGTATTCGGAATGAATGCTTTATTTGTGAAACCGGCCATCTCACTGTCTCCCATGTTAGTTGTTGCAATTCTTAACAGATATGGGTTCAGCCAAATAAAACAATCAACAGGGGACATACCTAGCCCCTCAGTTAACCCCCTTACTTCGACACAGCTAGAAGACCTGAAAGGGACCATGTTTTCTTTGGTTTGTTTGTACCCGGTTGTTCTAGGAACAATCCAATTGATTAGCTGGTCATTTTACAGAGTATTGAATTATAGGACAAAGGAAGTTGATGTATAAAGATAAAATTACGTAATAAATATGTTATAAATTGATCGCATCTTTTACCTGTACAATAATAAACTGAAACATAAATTAGAAATGATTGATATCTCCAAAGAAAGATAAATAAATAGATAAAATGAATGAAATTCAAAAGATTCAATTTAAAATAGATGGCTGTTTACAACATAAAATCAGTAAGGTAGTTCGATCCTCAGGTTCATAAAATTAGCAGTTAAATAATCGAAAATACAGTACTAAAAAAAAATATCTCTGAATCCACAACGTAATGTAAATTTAATCCACAGTATTTCTTTAAATGTAAACATTAAGATACTCTGATAAGAGAGATAATTCTTAATGACATAAATGTCTATTATTCGTTTACGAATTTGTCAAGTTGAAATGTCTTTTTTGTTCAATTTTAATTGTTTGTATTTTACTAAGCATATTCGTTTCCTATGGACAATCATAAGAGTAAAAGAAACATTTTATATGAGTGAGCAGAGGGTTTATGAACCTTAAAGTTATTGAGTAATCATAATATATTGGGAAAATTGTCAAATCTTAAATATATATTCAGATCAACAAATATATTTAAGGTTAAAAAACAATAGGTAACCATGCATTCAGAGAAATTGTTGTGATTTTTATACTTATTTAATATTCTACGTCTTCTGTTTTATTCTTGCATAATATACTAGTAATACATGATGTAAAAGGCTTTTGTTATCACAAATAATTTCTCATTTTATATCATGCTAATAAGCATTGGTATCCAAGGCTTGATTTAAGAAAATGTTCAAGAAAAAACAGTATTTTTTTTTTCCTTTTATAGGGTACAAATGTCAACTTTTCATAAGACCTTTTCTGAAACTTCCATAAACCTTGGATCATATCAACATAAACAAAATAAAAATTGTTGCATGAAAAGTTTTCATTTTCAAGCCTCATAATGATACTTTTAAAACTAAATATTATTTTTTGGAATTATCCTTCCTAGATGAAGATTGGATTTCTTTAATTATCTAACAACAACATATATAAGATTGATATTTTTTAATCTAAAAAAGAGAAGAAAAAATTATACAACTAGCTTTGGAACGATAAATATCATATTTAACTCTAGAGTCTTGAATGCTGCACCCGAAATACATTTTCCAGTTGAAAGTTGAACATCCTATATATGATACTGTGGTAGCTTTTTGTATATATATACTTGCATCCAATTTCTTTCATGTAAATCTAATCTTTAAATCATACCTGGACATGTTTAACACTACTAGTTAAAATTAGTAACTGAAGCTTATATTGTTTTAATGTTATCGTTGATGTGTATTTTTTTGGGAAGTTGCGTTATGAATTTGAGCATGTATAAAAATATCAAATATTTTTAAAAATTGTTTTAAAAGTCGAGCTTGAATTAAAATTCTTTAAGAAGTATATTAATAGCTACCATGGTGATACTGTGTAACCTGGATTGGGGCACTTATTGCCTTACAACCGAAGAACATTTATACTAAGAGTAAACTATTCCAATTCAAGTTATCCCATTATACATGTATATTGGTTTTTTATCGGGATTGTTATCCCATTATCCATTAGTCTTCATCTGGGTAGATGTTTTGCATAGGAAGTCGAGGAAGCTGCGTGTTCTGTAAGTCGCGGGTTCGAATCCAACTGCCGGACTTGGGGACCAGCGGCCGAATGTCGCAGTAGGTACTGGATCCCTCATTGCCCAAAGCGGTAAAGCCCAGTACAGGTCTAAGTTATCTGCAGCTCTCCACTGGCAAATGATGGCGTCTGAAATGAGTGAAAGGTTTCGGGATTTTTCACTCAGATTAAGACAATACCACTTGAAGGTGGAGAGCTGCAAATGTAGACTTGTATTTGGCTTTTTGATACGAGGCAGCACCTAATGCAACTCGGGGCCTCGTGTAAATTAGCAACTTTTCATTGCAATAAATTCAATCTTTAATACCGGTATGTTTTTACTCTTCATCAAATTGGTTTGAAGTGAAATTTCATATCATTCTAACAGGACAAGATCGTTGGACAATGAAATTTTTATTTCAAAATATAACACTCAAATTTGAACTCAATCTGTAGAATTAGTGATGACAAATAATTAAATTGTTGTTCAAAAGTAAAAAAGAACAAAAACAGGGATTTAAAATTCCCCAAAGTATTTCCGCAGCTCTTCTAGGTTGTGATTGTATTTAGTCGCACAGGTAAGTAATGCGAAAGTTATTTATTCTATATTAATTCAAATGTGTAAATCTTTATTTATATACATTATATAGATAATATGGATAATGTATACAACCAGGAAATTATCTTTATATTTACTTAAACATAAATAAGACTACTTCCTTAATATCCACCCTGTATATGAGATTATACAATCTTCAGATTTCTTCAAAGACAGGATGCCATCTACTCTAGGTCTCGATAGTAAACTCTTCAATTCATCATCAAATCTTATTGAGTCACCTTCCATTGTGCCTCCCGTGTTGCTTTGTCTGCTAGGAGTTGCTGGCAATGGTATTGCCGTAATCGTAGTGTGTTGCTCAATAAAGCCCCATCAGTGGCGACCATTTTATCGCTTTGTGTGCGGACTTGCTGTAACAGATGGCTTCGGTGTGATGTTGGCGGTACCTTTTGCTATCGTTAGATACGCAACAAACTTCGAGTACAGCTATTCGCAGACTGTATGTGATTACATGGCTGTCATTCAAATGTTTACATTAATGGCTTCTGCAATGATTGTTTGTACAATGTCCATAGAACGATTCTTGGCTCTTTTATTTCCTTACGAATTTCAGTGTTTGACAAGAGGCATTCGAAGCACTGCAGTATTAATATGTATTTGGGTGGTGTCAGCTTTCTTATCGTCTGGTCACCTGATGGTGGGAAGACCCAGTAAACGATTTTATCCGGATTCGTGGTGTTTCGTTGATTTCGAATCCCAGGATGCAACAGATCGAGGATTTTCTTACCTGTATGTTTTGTTGGGACTTCTTGTGCTGTTTACTACCTGTGTTAGTAATGTTATTCTAATGCTGGTAATCTTGAAAAAGAAGGGGGCTTATTACTTCACAAGTGTTGCAAACAAACATGGGACTCGCATAATTCTTTTCCTATTCTCTGTCGTGCTACTCTGTGTCATATGCAGTTTGCCAATACTGGTAAGAATTTTACAACAGTTCAAAAATTACAGCTGGGGATAATAATGTTATTGATAGGATGACAAGTAAAACTAAGGTTGTTTTTTATTCTCTTGTAGATACATATGCTCGGGAGTCTTTCTGGAACTTTTAAAGGTACACCAAGATTTGAATTGCTTGGAATAGAAATGGCAACAACTAATTCAACCATTGATCCGTGGATTTATATTATCTTCCGCAAAGAATCATTTATCTTTTTCTGTGGAATATATAATAAATTAACGTACATCCGGTGTAATTCCAGAAAAAAGGAACTTCAGATGCAAAGTACTGAAGCTCGAATGGAATTGGATAGTTTGACTACAGTGTCAGTGGAGAAATAACCGTATAGATAGAGAGGGGGAGAGCATCTGTGATGGTATATTTATAATTTTTATAGATGTATCGTTCCTTTATGGTCACATGGTAGAAACACTTCAAACAAGTTGATGAAACAAGAATATCAGCATTACCGTTTAGAGCCATCATTTCGTAAGTTCTATGGTCGATACAATGATCTTATCAGCTAAAACAATTTATCACTGAGTCAAATACTGACTGACGATTTCATACTAATTGTTAGTCCATTATTTATACACTGAATTGACGACGTATTTTCTCATTATTTCTCGATCATGACAAGGAGCGGGGGTGACCGGTATGACCGGTAGGCTGGGTACTCTCACTCCTCCATGACACCTGATCCTACCTCTGATGTTTTGGAGGTCCATGTTAGCTCTGCTCCTATTTTGTATTGTTTTATGGACCTTTGATATTGAATATTGAATACTGTTCGTTATCTCCATATGTTTCATTCAATTGAAAAATACTTAAAGTGTGAATGAATACTGCACACAGAATATAGTTGAGTAGATAAAATCAGTAAAAGTCATTTCAGAAGTGTCAGAAAGAGTATGAAGGAATAGTTCTGTAAGTAAAAAAAAAAGGAAGCATGTGAAGTTGAATGAGAAAAAAAAATATCGGACATCCATCGATCTAAATAAACCTACCAACCTACATATCGCCGCAGTGTACAGGACACAAAGCATAAAATATTGTTAAGAAAAAAAACTATATTTTCCTATCGTATAAGATTTAGAAACATTCATAACAGGATGTTCAATTAAATAATTTTATTTAAAATTTTACAGGTGATCCCTTTCTAATTTGATAGTATTTAGGTCTTTCCTTCTCTAAACTATAAAAAGAAAACTTAATTCACAGTATAGTGAGACGTTTCATCATTTACAAAATAAAATTAGATGAGAGATTATGGTAATTTTCAGTTATAAAGGGTGAAACTTTGCTGCATTATCGATTCAAGGAAATGTATAGAATATATTGACACAAGTATACTAAAATTAAATTCACGTTGTAATTTGAAATGAAGAAAAAATGCTGACTAAGTATTAGAAAAACTTGTTTGAAATAATCATATGATCCCACTGATCACTTGACACAGCTAGCTATGTATCAATCAGTTAAAGTTGTTGACCTTTGAAACCTGCTTGTGTTTGTAAAGAGAGACAACAACGCAGGCATACTTTATGGTAGTGGAGTTGATCATTTATTGCCGATGGTCTCAATTAGCATTAAATATTGTACAGTGTATATATATATATATATATATATTAAAAAAATCTTTCTCTCTGCAAGTCATTGTTGATCAATATTTATATTAAATTCGACAGTCGTGTCTTAGTTGAAATAACAGTTTCACAGGTTTTTAGAGGAGATATTTACGTTTTATTTTGAATGGAGTTTGAAATCATTTACATATCTAGTTTTTTGGTTACATTGAAACAACAATCTTAAAGTACAGGAAATTAAAATAAAGCTCAAACGCGTTTTGAAAAGATTTGAAGGTGAAATGTAATTGTGTAAAAAATACGTCTTCAGCATTTTTTATTTTTTTTCTACTTCCATTTGCTTTTACTGGAACAGAAGTGCAAATTGCAAATGGAAGTAAAAAAGCTAGGAATTTCTACTCAAACGAATGACATAAATTAATTAGCTATGTGTTTTATTTATAGATATGAAAAAGAATTCAACAATAGAAACGTTATTACGTAGAGCCTGTTCTTGGTTTTCGAATTAACTGGAGACATATGCTCCATATTTAGGTGACAAGGGTATATTACTACATAAATAACGGAAGTTGACAACAAAGAAGTTGACGTCATGCATTTATAATAAGGTTTAGTTTATCAATTATCATTTATGTCCTTTTCCAGTAAAACATCGAATTTTGAAAGAGGTGCATTGTATCAACTGTGTTGTATCCTTTATTCCAAGTTTATTCGATGTATAGAGTGGACACTTGAATGGAAATGAGTATTGATAATTGATAATAAGTCATCAATATATCTAAATGTCTAGTTAAAGACCACAGCAAGTGCTTTTATTCTTTTTCTCATAGAAAGTTTTTGAATAAATTCTTCATACGAATATAAAAAAGTAGGCTAGTAAGAGGTTGTCATTGCTACCCATGTAAATTTGGACAGAGATAGGGTTAATGTCTCCCCGGAGATTCGATACATAAGAGCAGGATCCTTTTACAAAGAATTTCTAAAAGGGGAGAACCTAGCTACTGACAAACAAGTTGATGAAATAAGGATATCAACAGTCTCGTTTAAAATAATCAATTTTCAAGTTCTGTTGTCGATACAATAAACATGTCAGCAAAAACAATCTTTCATTAATTCAAATACTTACGAATGTTTTTCATAGAAATTGTATTATGTTCTTTTTAAATTTTTCACACTGGATTGTCTACAGATTTGAGTTTTCCCGGTCATGGCTTGGAGCACATGGCAGGTATGACCGCCCGACAAGGATTCTTACTCCTCCTTGGCAGCTGATCCAACCTCTTACGTTTTTAGAGATTCGTCTTTGCTCTCTTTCCAGTTTGTCTTTTGAGTTTGATTACGGTTCATTTTTTCCTTCTCACAAACTTTTAGTTTTTCCACACGCAATTTTAATAAAATAACCAGTCAGTGGAACGGGCACACTTTTTTAATGTTAGCCATATTAAGTAAAGATATATCATATTAAACTGATGTTTAATTTCAAAACAAATTCAAATCTTTACAAGCTTACGAACACTTATTGTTCAGTTGAAAAGAATGTTTAAGAACTTTTCCCCAAAAAATCCTGGTGTAAAAGACAATGCTGTTGGTTTGAAACATCCGGAGTACAATATCTGAAGATTGATTGCTTGATTGATTGTATGTTGTTTATGTCTCTCTCGATAATTTTTTCATCATATTTGGAGATCCCGCCACATTCCGATAGAGAGCTGCCTGCAAATTTGTCCTATACTCGGCACTTAGAGCCATTGAGCAGGGAGGGATCTTTTTCTTGTCAGCACCCTCTGCGACACGGGACCTCGGTTTATACGGTCTCATCCGAAGGACAGGTCTCCATGTCCCACAGTGGGATTCGAACCCGCGACGGAAAGATATCATCTCCTTACTTCGCGACTCTAAAGCAAAGGCTAGATAAGCACTGCGCCATGCAGGCAAGACAATATCTGAAGATCATTATAGTGTGTTGAAAAGTTAGATATGTCTTTCCAGTAGGCAAATTATCGACAAAAAAGTTGATGAAACAAAAATATCTGGTTTGAATTCATCATTTCGTAGGTTCTATGCTCGATACAATGGCCTTGTCAGCAAATACATTTATATTGAGTCTTGAAATGCTAACTAACGTTTTCAATACTAATTATTAGTCCATTATTTATATACTGAATTGACGACGAATTTTCCCGTTATTTTTCGGTCGGCAGGGGATGCTCAATTCTCCACAGCACCTGATCCCACCTCTGATGTTTTGGAGGTCCGTGTGTGCTCTGTTGAAACAGCGAATTAAAAGATCGAGGGGCAATATGAAAACCATCTATCCTTCTGTATTCAATAACCCAGAAGTGATAAAATAATTAGATAGATTATATGATCAGTGCGTGCTGGTCCCTGCTGACAAAGCAGGTAACAACATTGTCTTTGTTTGTAAGGCTCATTATATAAATTGTATTTTAGAAGAACTTGGATTTAATTCTACAAATGGTAATCCAACTTATACTCATAGTTCCCTTTCTAAGGAAGAAATTCTTCAAAATCATATGTCAGTTTTGAATATTTTTAATATCCCAAAGAACCAAAATGAGTTTGAACTACCATATATATATATAAACTTCATAAGAATCTTTACAAACAAAGATCTTTGCCGGTTCCAGTAAATGTTCAACCAAGCCTCTTTTTTTACTCCTCACTAAGATTTTGACAGTAGTGAAGGAAAAACTTCAAGAGTACTGTGCAACAATTTATTCAAGAAGTGGCGTGAATCAGACGTGGATACTCAAAAAGTTCCAAAAAACTTTTGGACAATTTGAAATCACAAAATTTTACCAAAATCAAGAGAATAAAAACTTACGACTTTATACACAACCATTCTCCACGGTAAATTAAAGTCGAGGCTTTTTGATATCATTGACAGCTGTTTTTTCAATAAAAATTTACTTACCTCGTCATTGGTCATTTGCAAAAATTATTTTGTCAAAACACATTCTGATTGCACTCACAAGTGTCCTGGAGGTTTCATCAAAAAGATGCTTGAGTTTCTGATTGACAATATCTTTGTGTTTTTTGGAGACCAGGTCTTCCAACAATTCATTGGAAATCCAATGGGTACTAATTGCACTCCGTTATAAGCAGACCTATTATTGTCTTTATATGAAGCAGAATTTGTGCAAAATCTTATGCGTGAAAAGAAGAAAACACTTGCTGTGGCCTTCAACTTGACATTTAGATATATCGACGACGTATTATCAATTAACAAAGGTAATTTCCATTCCAGTGTCGATACGATATATCCTGGTGAGCTTGAGATAAAAGATACCACAGAGTCTGACACATCTGTTTCATACTTGGCTATTTTACTTGAAAAATACACTAATGGAAATCTAACAACCAAGCTTTATGATAAACGTGATAACTTTAACTTCTTCAATTGTCAACTTCCCTTACTTATGTAGCAGTATACCTTCATCACCTGCATACGAAGTTTACATATCTCAGTTGATTCGATACGCAAGAGTATTCTCGACTTAAAAACAATTTCTAAAACGAGGTAAATCATTGATAAACAAGTTGATGAAGGGTACTTACCACAAACAAAAAATGGATGCGCGGGTTGATATATATTTTTTGACTGATTTTGATTTGTAATGACATAAATAATAAATCCCTGAAATATAAAGAAATCGTAGGTTTTCCTTGGTGCTTAAATTTGAGATTTTATTTTGCCTTCTGTATAATTCCATACAAAATTTTGCACATTTTTTTTAACTTTATGACAATATCTTATAAAATTCTCCCACTCTACTTGGTAAACATTATTCAGGTTGTCAATTTAAATGTAAATCGATGAGAAATAATGCTGATTTCTGAAAAAGTTTGTTTGTGTTATTTATCCTTAAAGTCATCATTTCGTAAGTTCTTTGGTCGATACAATGACATTGTCAGTAAATACAATTTATCATTCAGTCAAATGCTGACTGATGTTTTTCATATTAATTGTTAGTCCATTATTTATACACTGAATTGACGACGGATTTTTCCGTCATTTCCCGATCATGACAAAGAGCACACGGCAGGTGTGACCTGTCGGCAGGGGATGCTCACTCCTCCATGGCACCTGATCCCACCTCTGATGTTTTGGAGGCCCGTGTTTGCTCTGCTCCTATTTTGTATTGTTTTATGGAATTTTGATCTTGAATACTGTTCGTTATATCCTAATGTTTCATTACTAAATACGAAACAAGAAATAAATATAAAGGATTTTCAAATATCAACAGGGTTCAACCAAAATCTCTTTTTGGTAGTAAAATCTTAGAAAACAACAACAAAAAAAAAAAACGGAGAAGTTGACGACCAGAAATCAATCTAAAAAAGTTTTTCAGTACCAATTTGTGAAGATGGCATAAACACAGACCCCCGGGGATCTTTCGTATCAAATCAACTGGGAGACATAAATGTCAAATGCAGGGGATGAACGTATATTGCTACATAAATAAGGGACGTTGACAAAAAAGTTGAAGTCATCATGTTGATCATAAAGGTGTGTTCTCAGCTGGCCAATCTTTTTCCAGGCTTTCTGACATCATCGGGAGCTGCTTTTCAATAAAAATGGAAGTCGTAAATTTATTTACGTTGTCATTGGTAGTTTGAAAAATTAATTTGTTAAAAAAAAGACCAATCTGATTGTACACACAAGTACTCTAAAGTTGATAATAAAAAGATGTTTGAATTTCTCATTGACAATATCTATGTGTTTTTTGAAGACCACGTCTTCCAAAAATCTATTGAAATTCTCATGGATACCAATTGCACCCGTTATTAGCAAACCTATTTTTGCATTCATATAAAGCAGAATTTGCTAAAAAAAATCTTTTACGTGAAAAGAAGAAAACACTTGCTGTAGCCTTCAACTCGACATTTTGATATATCGACTACATATTTCAATTTTAACAGCAGTTATTTCCATTCTTGTGTCAGCAAGATATATCATGGTGAGCTAGAAATAAGATACCACGGAGTCTGACACATTTGTTTCATATTTGGATATTTTACTAGAAAAAGACGTTATAATGGTTTTCTAACAACAAAGCTTTATGATTAACGTAATGACTTACACTTTTTCAATTGCCAACTTCCCTTACTTATGCAGCAATATACGTTTGTCATCTGCATATAGAGTTTATATATCTGGGTTGATCCGATACGGAAGAGCATGCATGTTCTACGTATGAACAATATTTAAAACGAGGTGAGTTTTTGACAAACAAGTTCATGAAGCAAGAAATCAGCAGTTGCGTTTGAAGTGTTCAATCATTTCGTAAGTTCTATGGTCAATACATTGACCTTGTCAGCAAATACAATTTATCGTTGAGTCAAATGCTTACTGCATTTTTTCATACTGATGATTAATTAAGTCATTATTTCCACACTGAGTTGTTCACATATTTTCCCGTTTTTTTTCTTCAGATTATGACAAGGAGCACATGGCGGTCATGACCGGTCAGCAGAAGATGCTCACTCATCCATGGTACCTGATCCCACCTCTAATGTTTCGGAGGTCTGTGTTAGCTTCGCTCATATTTTGTAATGTTTGGTGGATTCTTGCGCTTGCATACTATTCGTTATCTACGCACATTTCATTCTTTAATTGTCAAGATTCAAATGATTTACATGTACAGTGTACATGCTTTTAGTTCTAGCTCTCGGGTCGGAAATGGTGGGCTTAAAATTCACTATTTTTGTTTCCCTTCACTCAGTATTGTTATATGACTTTATTTGTTGTAATTGGTTGAGCAGTACCTGAAAAAAAAGCTGAAATTTTTCAAATGTTAACACATGAGGACGAGCGAGAGCAGACAGCAATCTAGTCACCTGTCTCCTTTGACTTAAAAAAAACCCTTAATACAATCACATCCAAGATGGTCGTCTTTAATTTCACAAAGATTGGTCTGCGTAACTTACTTTTTCCTTCTACTATTTTTTAGACATCAACTCCAGTTCTATGCAGTGATACACAACTCAAACTTTTTCAATGTTTTATTACGTGGTTTGCAGAGCAATTTACAGTGATCCTTTTCGTTTTGTACACATTAAATTTCGTTGAAATGATATAATGAATTCGGGTGTAATTGTTATGGAATTATATTTACAACTGAATAACAGAATCCCTTGAACTTGAATCAGGAATTGCATGACCTTTTCAATTTACGTTAATAAATAAAATATTTTTGGTACTTTTTCCAAGGGATTTTGTTCAAAATATCTGTTCATTTACATGGAACTTTCAACACTTGTTTTGTAGAAACAAGGGCAACACAGTACTTTCTCAAACAAAAATACAAAGACCTAGCATCATAAATACTAAAAGAAATGGCAAAAGAAAATTTCTTAACCAAAATTCTAAAATAGCAAAAGCTATTTGTCAATGTTGAGAGAATTACACAATATTAGACAAGGACAGGTTAGTTAGAAGAGAGCTGCCTAATGACCACGCCTTTCTACATTCTATTGCACCAACGTCCATTCCAAGACAAAGAACAAACATGCATTACATCACAAGTTAAAAGGGCAAGGGGTAATTTCCGAGAGTCCAAAAGAAGCTTTGTCCGGAGTACAAAAAATAGAAAATTCCAATCCATGAGTCAAAACAATTAACAGAACGTGTACATGTCGTTTGTCCAGTGTCTTGGAATAACATATCAATCATAACTACATAACATGACGACTGAAAAGGTCATCAAGATAAAAACAGAAAGTAAGCAACAAACAGCTCAAAGGCAGAAAGAATTCTCAACGTACACCTTATTATGCTCAATCCCAAAGTTTTCAAAAAGTGGTGCTAGTTGCATTTTGCCTTTCGATTTTGAATTCAACGTGTATTGTACAATGTTGAGATTTCTTCCCTTCGTGTAACAAAACCTGTCTGTCATGGTAGACCCGTTAACAGTCAAAAGGTACAGCATATACCCTCTGACAGGATCCATAGTCCAAAAAGATCATCACTAATAAAAAGCGCTTAAACATCTCTAAAAAAAAATAAGACCGAAGAATGTTCCCAAACATGTGTCAATGCACTAGTACCTTCTGGAATGTCAAACCTCATCACAACATAAATAACAATATTTGTTATATACACAAGCGATTCACATCGTTGTCGACACGTACTACATGACACCCTTAACAGAATATACAATAACTGTCAAAACGATAAAGTTACAATCAGGGTAAATAAACTTTTCCCAAAGAAAGTAAAATATTCTAAAAACAGCCATAGAGGTAGAAACGTGAAGAATAGAAAGAAAATTTCATTCTCAACTTGTTGCGAATTCCGAAATGGACAAAACATAGACTTAAATGTTGAGAGAGTACATTTACACATTGAGTGGATCGAATTTTAGAACTTTTTTATTACAAGTTTTTTAATGTTTATGTGTAGAGCATTCAACAAGCCATCTAAGTGGTGACAGTAAACCAGACGCCATGTTACGAGAACATGTCATTAAAGCAATACACATCCTATTCACCCAGCCCTGTTATATAAAAAGTTCCGGTACTAACCGACTTTCTAAAAATGCTGACATGGCAAATCTAGAATCAGAAGCATGTGATATACGCATCATCAATATGTAATTTTGAATAAATTTAAATGACATTTACCAAGACCCTTATAGTTTTCAATAGATCTTTGGAGAAGGGGATGGCCTCTTTCTATCTGAACAGTTAAGTTATACCCGTGGATGGTATACCTTATTATATAAAATACAACCCCAGCTACGCATTCCACAAGTCTATACAGGTATGAACGAACTCACTAAATAAAAGATGGGGGGAAACTTTAGTAAGACAAGAATAAATTGGAGCTCTAGATTTAAATGTCATACTTTAAACTACGTATTTTTTCTTCTATGTTTGCATTTTTTTCAGAAAAGTTCACAAAATCTTGAACACGTAGTTACAAGGAAATACCTTATCAAAATAATTATATCTGTTTGTTTTACATATTTCCAACAACTGTCACAATAATAAATGCGTCACAGCTTTATGCATGCATAATAACAGAGGGCCCCCATTGATAACAGAAAGCATCCAGGGACTTCCTTGTCTCTGGACATAACACCTGTAAGTGGATTTTATCTGTACTACCTGCACAGACCTGACTAGCGGAATTCAATCAAGAGCTTACATGTCTAATTCATTTAATTTTCTAAATAGATCATGGACACTTCGTATTATCACGCGATGGGAATGTTATGGTTAATCTGCATGAGTGGTCACATACTTGGACAATCCTCCCAAACCCCACAATAAAAGACAAAAATGTTAAGACCACACCGTTGGCTTGCCTACGCCTACTTCATCAATATTTTACTTAAATTATCCTTAAAAAGTTATTTCAAAATATACCACAAAGGTAGCAAAAAAAAAGTTCTAAAAAAACAGATCCACCCAATGATGAATATTTTGTATGACTTCACAAATCATTTTGAACAGTGTACACCTTTAGTACTTTCTTGGGGAAAAAAACATACTGTTATACATGTAAATGAACTTATGCAAAACAAAAACAAATCAATAAATTTATTTACAGAAATGGACGGCAATCAACAAGATGTTTGTAAAATTAACAAATTTTGATAACTTTACAAGTCATCTTCAAACTCATTCATAACAAAGAAATGAAGATAAAATAGAGGAATCAAAACAATAAAAATACCCTCTGGATCAACTCAATAGAAAAACTGTCTTTGACAAAACAGTTGTATTCTTTTCTGTAAAATTTTATATGTTCAGTAAAAACTTGATTTTACATTTTTGCATTTTGAAGGGTTAAATTTTTCATCCTTGAATTGTTAATTAGACAATCATTTCATTATAAATTCCAAAAGGTACATCTTAATATTCACATAAAATACTCATTTAGTAAGAGAATCTTATCATCCAATCTAATTAAACTAATTATCATACTCAAAGAAATGCCAAATTAAAGCCCAGTTTATGAGCTTTAAAACACCTTTGTGAGTGTTTTGATGCATTAAAGACAACGCAACTATTGAGGAGATCCAAAGGAAGATAATATAAACATTTAAGACTATCATGCTCCAATGAACTCTGATAATGAACATCAATATACTGTATAATATATTATGTACAAAAGAAATACATAGATCTCTTATAGCACTTCAACAATACACAGACTACCTTGATTACACCTTAAATGACTATTCAACTTCCATAATTAGTCACTTTCCAAAAATAATCCTTATGGAATTTGGCTAAAAATAAAAACTGGTCAAGCTTTCCCATACTTTCAGTTTGTGTTTCAATACTCAACCCAAAAGAAAGTAGCTTATCATCACAACTGATTTTATTTAAAAACAAACATCTTGACCCCTTTCTAAGGAAAAAAATATAATTACCAGTTTAAGATTTGCCATTACTTACATAATGCCAGAATGTGCATTTTCTTTGTATTTATTTGATGTAATGTGAAGGGCATTTGTCTGTGAGAGAGTCTGACTTACTCGTATATTTCTCTAGCATGTGACCATAGATGAATATAATTATACAATACTACCTTACCCTGCACGACCTAATTAAATGGGATTAACTTGGATGATTTTGAAAACTACATACCCTCAATTTCACTACATTCTGAATACATCAACATTTGGCACATATCATTTTACATGATTTTGAAATGCATTTTGTTAAATTTGGATTGCTTTTTATTTTGGATGTACCGGATGTTTCTAATAAATGTACGAAATAAGCAATAATTTTGAATGAAAAATTCTAAGTGAGCAAGTTGGCTTTAAGTAGTTCACCTGTGTCTAGCACACTCGCCACTAATGTAAATGTGTCAGAAATTCCTGCATAATTATCAAATCATCCAAGTAGAACTATTTCATTCACATGCTGAACTTTTCAAGTACATGAATTTAAAGATACATAAATTTCTTTAACATCCATTATTGTAAATGACATTTCTTTGCTTTATAAAACAGAATGGAATGATTACAGATAAGTGTGGATGAATAAAATACATTAACAATCTTTCTCAATATAGAATAGAGAATTATTTCCAGTTCATGTTCAAACACTTAACCCCAATTTTTAAGCTGTTCAAAAAAAGGTAAAACCTTGAGTGGAGGTTTAGGAATGGGAGCATGTAATCTTTTAAAAATAGTTGATACATAATTTCAATAGACTCACTGTGTGATAATAATGTCTGAACAATAAATAAACTATCAATAAATGATCCTGATGACATTACGCAGTAATTAAGATGGGGATTTCTAAAAGTCTCCCATGTTCAAAAGAGGAAAAAAAAAACAAGGTTCATAATTCAAGAAGAATCAGCACAACATAAAAAGTAGGGTAAAATTGAAGACACAACCATATTTAGATAAGTATACATTGTATATGTATGTAATTTCAGCAAAATAATTTCTTAACAAATGATATGATTATGTCAATGGAGAAACTATCGTATGACATGACTGGAAAGAAGCACCATATTTGTTATTGACAAATGTCAAACCGTCAAGAAAAGACCATCAAAACTAACATTTTGATATTGGTTCCAATGTATATATACATGTATTACATACATACAGACAACAATGTATATTTCTTGATCCAGAGTTTCCTCTGGTAGAAAGAGTAAGTAACTGAACACATTATGTGTATCTGTCCACTGCAGCAATTGTCCTGTCTATCATGAACTATCCCACAGACTTGACTCGAGCAAAAGAATGTTTCAAAGAAATCAGTCCTGCCCCTCCTGTAGTTTTATGTGATGTGTGATGTTTAAAAATTTGTCATTGTTTTTGGCAATATTGTTTCATAAAACTGCATTGATGGAGTCCAAATATGAGGGCATGTAAGTTTGTGCAGCACATTCTGTACTCTGTCCATCTTTTAGACTATGCCTGTGATGGCTCTGACTTCACAATGATGGAATCTCTGTGGCCAAAGTGAGGTGGGGTCAAAAACATGGGTGGGGTCAAAACTTTGATTCTGTTGACTTCAGCGAATCGTTGCAGAGCATCATATTTGTTTTTCAAGGAAGTAAGTTCCATCTTGACCACATCGTTTTCTCTCTGTAATCTGTGCACCTCTGCTCTCAGCCTTTCCTTTTCAGTTTCCAGCTCTTCCTTCTGGCTCATGCGTTTTTCTCTGCAGTTGGCAGCGTAACCCCGATTCTTCAGTGTGCGACGACGCTGTTTCAGCTTGATTGTTTCATCTCTTGGCAAGCCTTTCAACAATTTGTTCAGTTCTTTCACTGTCATAGCAACGAGCTCATCGTCCGATATCTGGGCTGACATCCTCATGGCCCGTGCCTCTGACTTGCATTGCGATAAGAAAATCTGAAATAAATAATATTTATTTAATCAACAAATTCAATAAATTAAAGTTGTGTGGAATATTTTTAAGTACAGGTCATAATACAAGTAAGTGTTGTCCCATAGTCCCCCCCCCCCCCCGAATTTCAGTAAAATTTGGCTACTGTACTTATTGACCTCTGTTGGTTTCTTTGTGATGACAAACAATCAGATGCTGCAACTGAACTAGTGAGTCATATCAACATTATTATGGGAAAAGCTTAGTCAATTTCTCAGGCACCTGTTACATCATGTTACTAATCAATGTATCAACTGTAAACCTTTATAAACCCTAGTTTATGAAATCTGTGCCATTTATACAAAAATAGAAACAAACAAGCATTTTTAACTTCCTAGAAAAACAAAAAGTACATCTCTCTTAGTAAACATTGCAAAGTTGGCATAGTGCCAAGAAATCGCATGCCACATTTTATCAATTTTAAACAGGTTATCTATGACTTACAAGTCTTATTATGAACATATGAAAATGAAAAAAAAAAAATTGTACCCTCTTAATTATTTAATTGTCTTTTTATTATGTAATTAAAAGATTAGTAAAAAAAAAAATGTGATGATGAATTAAAAAATGTGGTATCTTATTAAGTTTTTTTTCTCTTTGTGTTTACAATTTTAATGTTTAAATGTTTCCAGTTAAAAAAAAAATTGAAAATTTTTACAAATAAAGTTTTATCAATAATCAAATACTCCGTTTGTTTTTCTAGAAAATGGCCTCGGCCTTGTTGGTCTGCGCAATTCGCGTTACACAAGCACTAAGATTTATAAATAGTCCAAGGTGTAATCTAGGACAACGCATCTGTATTTTCCACAATATTAACATACTGTCATTTATCTTTTTGAGTCCCGTGACGTAAACAATATACGTTCGTGACATTCAATACTATGTAGAATTCTTAAAATTTGACATTTCAAGTACACACACTGCCTTCTTTTAATTCTAATGAAATGGTAAATAAACACGCCTTGTGCATCATCAGCATAAATTCCAATGCTCGCGTCTGGGCAGAGTACAAATGGAGGTCAATGATTTTCATTCATGCGCAGTTTCTATTTTGTGTTTAAAACACCATTAACGTGGGTATCTAGGTTTTGAAATGCCATGACTAAAAGATGTTGTGTCCCAGGGATACAGGTTGCTATTGTACACATCGAGTTTTGTGTATTCGATGTGTATTTTCTCACTGCGCAGAAAGAGCTGACAACAAAACAATGATCACGTGGTCATGAATGTACAATGAACGCAATAATCCTCATATCAGCATATTTCACAATTTCTCAAAAATTGGTCTTTAGAACATGAAAATATTACAAAAATGGAAGCTGAATCCTATATCTAGATAACAGATCTTGATAAAACAGTCAAATATAGCCTTCATTGATCATTTCCCGTGTTCATGAATTGTCTACAAAAACGTAAACAATGCACCACGCCATCATTCTACTACGATTTACACACGGTGACCGATATTTCACTTACCTTTTTACTCATTGTGACCGTTTTCCGCTACCAATATTGAATAAACTGTATCCTATACTTTCCTAGAAAACAAGTATAGTTTCAGAATCACAAAACAATAACTTTGAAGACAATTAATCCACTATTTGTTTCCACGACTGATTTCATCAACTCGGCAATACTCGGATTGTTGCGTATTTTGCGCCTCGCGTCTTCTCGCTGATTGGTCGATTCGCTCACCGTTACTTGATGACTCAGCGAGGACGAACTAGCCCCGCCATTTTAGATGATTCAGCACTTCGATTTCACAACAATAAGATCTTGACATGCTTTGGACCATGGATACACGTTAAACAGAATATTTTATAAATCGATAGATTGATAACTTTTTATGATATACAGACAGCGTACTGCGGCTATATGTTTTGTAAACAAGAAAAGTGCCTCGGTGTCACATGGGGCACCTGCCAATCAATTTATTCATTCGGAACTTTTCTTACTTTTTTCTTAAATTGTAATCATTAATTCAGAGACTACCACAAATATTTTGACTGAAACCGAGGTTTTCAATGAATTCGTCATATTTTATGCTGAGAAGACATTTTTACCTCTGAACTAAGTGACCCTCTCTTCCTCCGTATGTCTACAGATTATTTGATACACCGCTTACCATTCACTATTTTTTCCAAGGAAAAAAAGTTGAGAAAAGAAACATTTCTAGACAATATTATAAAAACTATAAAATAGTTCACTGTCAGGTGATTAAGAACCAAATGTCAAAAATTATGTGATATCCTGTACTAAACAGTCCTACTAAACAGAGTACGCTAGTAATAGTATGATAGAGTACTTTAGAGTACACTAAGTAATATTTCATAATTTAATGCAATTAAACTATTTTTTTGTATGTTTTTCTACTTTAGTTTAACATATTGAATATATATTTTAAATAAAATTTGCATGTTTTCCTTATCTTAGGAGTTATTTCAATTTTTAGAAACATTTCTATCCGTGCTAACATTTGAACATTTTCAGCTTCTTCTCTGAAACCACTGAACCAATTTCAACCAATTTTGGCATATAACATTTATGGGTAAAGGGGAACAAAAATTGTGAATTTCACAGTCGTGCGTAGAAATTTCTAACATTTGTAACATTTTCAGGGGGTTTCTTCTTCTCTGAAAATAGAGATGCGAAATCCTGCATTCTGGCTGAATTTTGGGTGTAATTTATATGTCACTGATTGTACCAATTTTTACTGTTCGACCAATTTTTGAATCACCTTTAAAGTTTACATTTTTGACTTAAAAAAATTATAATTATGCTGATAAAACATATTTCAAAATAAATTTAACAATTATCAGGTATATTGTATGTAAATTATATTTACTTGCTCTTAGTGAGTAATTGGTAAAATTTACTGTAGCCCTGCAGGGCAAAAAGACATGTTTGGTGAATATTCAGTTGTCCCGGGCCAGCGGGTTAGCGTTAGTGTCGAACCCTGACTGACAGTCCCTGCCCCCTGGGGCATGGGGGGTGGGGCCAAAACCACTAAAATTAGTGCAATCTTTAAAAATCTTCTTCTTTACTCCTGGACATCAAGCAGGCAAACTGTTGGTATGATTGTTATCAGCATTGAGTCCTCTACCAAAATTGTGAATTTCATGGCCCCAGGGTCAGGGGTTCTAGTGCTAGGGCGGGGCTATATTAATTATATAGTGAAAATGCATTTATTTCTTTAAAAATCTTCTTCTCTGCTCCTGGGTATCAAATAAACTAACTAAGTATATAGTTATGATGAACAAGAGTGCCTCTTTTAAAATTGTGAATTTTATGGCCCCAGGGAAAGGGGTTCTGGTGTTGGGCGGGGCTCTATAATGATTATATATATAGTGAAAATTTATTAATTCTTTGAAAATCTTCTTCTCTGCTTCTGGGTATTAAATAAACTAAGTACATAGTTATAATGAGCAAGAGTGCCTCTTCTAAAATTTTGAATTTTATGGCCCCAGGGTCAGGGGTTCTGGTGTTAGGGCGGGGCTCATTGATTATATAGTGAAAATGCATTAATTCTTTGAAAATCTTCTTCTCTGCTTCTGGGTATCAATTAAAATAACTAAGTACATAGCTATGATGAGTAAGAGTGCCTCTTTTAAAATTGTGAATTTTCTGGCCCCAGGGTCAGGGGTTCTGGTGTTAGGGCGGGGCTCATTGATTATATAGTGAAAATGCATTAATTCTTTGAAAATCTTCTTCTCTGCTTCTGGGTATTAATTAAAATAACTAAGTACATAGCTATGATGAGTAAAAGTGCCTCTTTTAAAATTGTGAACCTTATGGCCCCAGGGTCAGGGGTTCTGGTGTTAGGGCGGTTATCTATTGATTATATAGTGAAAATGCATTAATGTTTTGAAAATCTTCTTCTTTGATTCTGGGTATTAATTAAAATAACTAAGTACATAGTTATGATGAGCAAGAGTGCCTCTTTTAAAATTGGGAATTTCATGGCCCCAGGGTCAGGGGTTCTGGTGTTAAGGCGGGGCTCTATAATGATTACACAGTGAAAATACATTGATTCTTTTAAAATTTCTTCTCTGCTCCTGGGTATTTTATAAACTAAGTATATAGTTATGATGAGGAAGAATGCCTCTTCCAAAATTGTGAATTTTATGGCCCCAGGATCAGGGGTTCTGGTGTTAGGGTGTGGCTCTATTAATTATATAGTGAAAATACATTAACTCTTTGAAAATCTTCTCTGCTCCTGGGTATTAAGCAGATGAACTACCTATATAGCTATGATGAGCAAGGGCCATTCTTCCTGAAGTGTGAATTTCAAGGCCCCTGGGTCAGGGGTACCATAGATGGGGAGGGGCTGTACTTATATACTGAAAATAAATTAATCGTTTAAGTTCTGCTCCTTGGTATTAATTAAACATTTTTGATAAGCAAAAGTGCCTTTTCTAAAATTGTGAAATGTGTGGACCAAGGGTCAGGGGTTCATGTGTGGTAGTGGCACTACAGATTATTGTTGAATATTACTGATTTGTCGAAATACATTTTTTGTTCCCCTACTCTGTCTATGGGTATTAAGTAACCAAACTAAACATGCTAAGTGTATAGTTATGATTAACAATGGTGCCTCTTTCAAAATAGTGAATGTCATGACGTCTAGTTTTAAACATGAACCAAATTCAATCGTTGCATGATGCTCAGGTGACCTATAAGGCCCATGGGCCTCTTGTTGATTTCAGGTTACGGTTTATCGTTTGATCCCTATCTAATTTAACTTGATCATGTTGAAATGTCTCATTGTGAATGTGCAAAATATTTACACATGCAATTCATTTAATATTTGATAAGATTTAGTTGTAAGTCTTAAGTAAGTAAATTTATCTGAAATAAAATAGTAATCGAGATTGGGGTATTAGTAATCTTTAATGCGTTGAATTATGGATGTTATTTTCTGGTCAAAATATCGCTAAAAACAAATATTTGAAACAAATATTGCAATATAAGTTTATAATAATGTTTAATCAAGTTGTACATGTATACATAAATAAACAATATGCATTAAATAACATAATTTTTCTAGCGTACTCTAAAGTACTCTATCGTACTCTGTTAGTAGTACCCGATCATGTACAGAATAACATACGATAGTCTGATAATCTGGAGACAAAAAAAACACATATGTTTTGTAATAATGTCTCTGAATAATCTTGGTAAGATTTTTCTGGCATTAAAATACACTGCCTAAGAAAATTTAACTTAAATTTTAAATCCTTGTAAATAAAGGCCATTTTTTCGTCTCATGTGGTAAAAAACATATACATATAATGTTAAAAAAGGGAGCACTCACATAAATTTACACTATATCCTCTCTAAGACTTTAGATTATCTTCCCATCATTTTTTTCAGAAGCAAGAAAGGTATTGACTTAAATAATGAATTAAACTGATTATATTAAAAAGTAGCCCTTTGGTCACACATCTAATTTTAGTTCTGAAGAATGAGTTAGATATATATTTTCCTTCATAATATATTGATTTTTGCATATCACAAGTATCATCATTTTATCTTCTTCACTTTCCTGTATAGGCTAAACCTAGAAACAATGCAACAGGTTGCAAGTCTCAGATATACATGTGTACATGGAAAAATCATGATCACGTGACTTTTGCTAATTTTACCGGTATCATGTGTGTGTGTGTGTGGGGGGGGGGGGAGGGGGGGGGGCAAGGCCCTCCCTTCAAAATGACAACTAGTTCCATAAGAATGAAAATTTTGAATCCCCGGCCCCTTTTTTTCAATAATTGTCCAACCATGCAATACTTAATCAAAGTACTCAGAAGTACAGAGAGCTGGGCTCATTTACAGAGTAGAATGGATTTCTTACATGAATCACGTTTATATTCTGATGAAAAAATTATTTTAAAACTATCAATATAAATGATAAGACACTGACAGTGAGTTTTTCAATCCTAATACCACGGTCCGATTTTGTCAGAATCAGAATTAATCTGGTACCGCAGCTGAATGTAAACAAACAGGCCAGTCTGGTTCCCTCTCCTGCTTTACCTCGTATGTGTAGAGAACTACGGTAACACTGATTATCAAAAATCCTTACGCTAATGAACTATGTTCTTTGACTTATGAAGTTTTCAAATTCATTACTACAAATGTTTATTTTATATAGATAAAACTTCGTTTTATTTTTGTTGCTTTATTTAGCGTTTGTATTATCTCAAAAGCGGTTGAGAGTAAGAACTATATTTTTGCACGTAACTTTAAAATGGCGACTATTGGGTTAACATCCTGCCTTGAACAGGATCACATAAGCCGGCAATTGCTCTTTGAGCAATAAGCCCGGCTAAAAATCATCTGGTTTAACAGTGGTTTCTGAAGAAAAATGTAGTAATGTAATTGGGTCGACAAAATTTAACCAAATCCGGATTTTTCCTCCAGCTGTATTTGAAATGACATGTACAGAATATTGATGTATCTCTCCAAAATTGTTGTGTTTCAATATCTGCAAAATAGCCACCGTTACCAGGGAACTTAACATGGGTTCCGGTTTAATATAGTGAAATAGCAAAGTCTTCTGAAAACATTTGTTCTGCCCCTTGTTAAAAGCAAAGAAACTAAGTGTATAGTTATAATAAACAAGGATGCTTCTTCCAGAATTGTGAGTTTCAAGGTCAGGGGTCAGGTGCACTGGTGTAAGGGCGGGGCTCTATTGATAATATTGTGAAAATGCATTGATTCTATAAAAATAAATCCTTTCTGCTCCATAGTGTTGGGCATAAAAAGTGCACAGTTATAATGAACAGGGATGCTTCTTACAAAATTTGTGAAACTTGCAGTCCTAGGGCAAAGGCACTTACTTGATTAAGAAATAAACTTTTAACAC